TTTTTGTTATATAATTGTAAGAGAGATAGTTGAGCCTTCTTGCCTCTTGTTAAGTACAGTCTACCTTATATCCAAATAATTAAATTTTGATAAGATAGGAAAAAGAGAGGAGTGATACATAACTGGGAACCAAAATGACATTTTGATAAAGCCTGCCTTCAGTTTTCAAGGTAGCTGAATATCTGTATATTGAATCCCAGTGTGTTTCTTCTGGCTGTGTTGTGAAAGGTAAACATATATGTGTCATAAATGCCTGTGGGTTGCAGTTTGTGGTTCTGTTTTTTATAAATCAGTCACCTGTGACTTTTAGATTCTTTTGCTTGGTATTTCTGTCTTAATAATCATCAACCTTTATTAATAATTATTTCTATACACAGTGATATAGTCTTTCCTTTACATGGATAGGAAAAAATGCAGAATTCCAAGTAGTTTTCTTAGGATGTCTACACTTACATTTAATGTTTTTTAAAAATAAATATAAATAAAAATTCATCAAATAAGATACCTGAAGTAAATGCTAAATGTTGTAGTTCTTGTAAAACCACCTTAAGTCACAGAAGTTCATCAAACTCAAGTAATCATTAAGATTAAAGTTTGTATCAACAGTTTTAAGAACCTTTAATATTAGTTAACAAACCTCCTATAACAAGGTAAAATCAGTAGCATGGAATTTTTTAAAAATCAGACTTGCCCAATTTTATAGTTTAATTATGTAGAAAAATATGTACTGAAGATTCTAAAAGGCTGTAATCAAAATAGCTTTTGAAAGATTGGGCCTATCTTCAAAAAAGAATTTGTAAAATAACTAAATCTTAAAAAAAAAAAATTAGTGAAATTTGCTGTTAAATATAACTGAATATTCTGGAGTCCTCAGTTTGGAAAAACCTGCTGTACTGTTAGGTTAACTGCATCTTATTTTATTTATTTTTACTTTATGCTGGGGAACAATTTTTTAAGACAGGTAACAAGGAAATATAGTATAATTGTTTGACTTTTTAGTATCCAATATATTTTCCAAAATGTGTAGTAATTTAAATAAATTTAGAGTTACTATATTTTATGTAGAAAATGCTTGATATTGCATAGTTTTTGCATTCTTGGAAGGATTTAACTAAGTGTAAGTTATTTATAATAGCTTGTGAGACTTAACATTAATATTGGTGACTTTTGTTTGATTGAAACTCTTGAACTATTGTGTATCTTTGCAAAGAGAAGCAGGAATACAGTCACCTCTTTATAAATTAGGCAAATTCAGATTTTCATCTTAGATATTTCCCTCTTCCCAGCACATCTTTCTTTATCACCATCCCCTTGGTGTTTGTTCACAGAAGCAAATTAATTTTATTATTAACTTAGGCAAAATATGATTAGGAAGGTGAGTCTGCTACAGAAGTAACCATTATATATTTCAGAGCTAAACATGGGGGAGGGGCAAAGGGGGATGGATGGAGTGGTTGTTTGGGTCTAGTAGATGCAAACTGTTATGTATAGAGTGGATAAACAACAAGGTCCTGCCTGGAGCACAGGGAACCATATTAAGTTATCCTAGGATAGACCATAATGGAAAGAATATAAAGAAGAATGTGTGTGTGTTTCACTGAGACCTTTTGCTGTACAGCGTATATTAATACATTGTAAGTCAACTCTACTTCAATCAAAAAGATTTAAAAACCGAAATATAAATAATTTCTAAGTTTCATGCTGTTTTGGATAGTTCATATTATATCTCTGCTTTATTTGCAAGATTATTATGATTCCAGTGCTCTGATTTTAACCTTGACTGACACCATTGCAGCTTAAGGCATTTGATCATAATTTATTAGATAGGGGTATCTTTTAAGAGTGTGATATCACGTTATTCCTGACTGATTTTAAATTGCTGATAAACAGTTGTAGTGATTATTTTGCTTTTGTAGATTTTGCATATGAAGCTAGGAGATAAATGTCCTAAGAAAAATTTACCATATGTATTTTTAAACTAATAAAGTTGAAAACTGCATTTGCCTAGAGCAATTTAAAGTAGAGGCTTGTATCTTATAGAATTCAACACAGTACTAAGCTTGCATTTGTTGAAAGTTCTCTGTTCTGTTCATGTCTAAGTTGAAAGCCTAATTAATGTAAACGTGCATTTTTGTGCCTGTTGTTCATGGTTATGTCATGAAGGTACCTTTGCACTGGATAAGGTAAGAACCAGGCTGTGGAAAGTCTGTGATGAGTGCGGCATTTTACATGGTGCTGTTCAGTTGCTCAGTCGTGTCCGACCCTGTGACTCTGTGGACTGTGGCCTGCCAGGCTCCTTTGTCCATGGGGATTTTCTGGGCAAGAATGCTGGAGTGGGTTACCATTTCTTTACTCAGGGATTTCACATGTAATATAGAATTTAATTTAAGCCATATAAATGCCCTATCAACTGTTCATTACTATCTGTTTTCCTGTAAGGATGTTGAAGTTCAAAGAAGTAAAGAATCTTGCTTATGGTCATGTAAGCAAATTAGGGGAAGTTAATTGAATTTGAACCCAGGTCTGACTCCAGAGCCCATATGTGTTTCGCTGTCCTGTATTTTCTCCTCATAGTAAGTTCTCTGGACTTTATAAGCCATAAAAAGTAACCCCTCTTTTCAGCAAACCTGACATGTGAAAATCTAGATTTGCCAATATACAAATTTGGGATATTCTTTATTCTTGTGAGATGATTCATCTCATGTTCTTTAAATGACACGACATGACATTTAAAATATTATTTGCTTTCCTGAAATCCAATTTTTCTCTCAACATTTTAAGAATACCTGCTTCGTGAGATTTTATCAAGTGAGGCAAGCCTCTATTTTGGTATTTGTTTAGCATGTACTTCATGAATGCCTGCTCTATGCCAGGTTCTAGGTGTTACAGAGAGAAGTGACCTGCAAAAGCATAGTTCCTGCTGTCTCTGGAACTGGTGTAACTGGGTTTCAAATACTGGTTCCACCTTGATCTCTCAGTAACTGTAGGATCTTAGCAGGTCCCTTAGCCCTCTGAGTCTCTTTCTTCATCTTTCTTAGGGTTATCGTAAGGATTAATTGAGATAATATATATGTTCATAGCATGGTACCTGGCATGTGAAAAAATACTAACGTTACCTTTTAACATCTTAAAAATAGCACTTGAAATATAAGTCCTTTTCTTTTAAAAAAAAAAAAACCAAACAAGCTTAATTAGCATCGTGATCCTCAGTCTGAGACAGTAGTCATCATTTGAAGAGCTGTGTAAGCATTTCCCTTGGTTCTGCACACTGCCACACACATTCTAGAATACAGTATGCCTTAAGCTGGGTGCTTGGTTTATATTCTAATGGTAGTGCTAGAAGACCGTGGGGGATAATTCCAAACATACGCATATAGATGTTAGGCGCGTGGCAAGTACAGTAACCTGTTTTCTTATTACCTTTCTTCTGAAAAAGAAGATAGAGTCACTTTGTCATTTATTCTTTGGAACAATATGAGAAAAGATTTGAGGAAGAAGTTTGTCATTGATCACAAACAAAAATGTTGTGACAGCTTCACTCTGACTTATAGTAGGCACTTTGTACAGTTACTTGAGCCTTTTGGATGGGAAGTATTCCTCAGTATTTTTTAAAGTAGTGAAGTTTAAACACTAGGTCGTTCCTTTGCTGTATACCTGAAACTATCCCCACATAGTGAATCACCAATATTTCAATAAAAACTTAAAAAACTAGGTATTGCGTGTGTACTTACAATATGTAGACACTTGAATATATAGATACCAGTGCAAGTGATTTTGAAGATATATTTATGAAAATTACTGCAAGAGTAATCAATCTAGCCATATTTCCTTCTAGATTACTGAATGTTTTAGGATATTATGATTTATCAAAAGCTTAAGGAGGAATTAAATACATTTAGAAATGATTTTTTAGAGATGTTCAAAAAAATCAGTGACAGATTTCCTTAAGTAATGGTTTCCATCAATAAAATTTTGTTATAACAGTTAAATTTTCTTTTGTGAACTGATGCAAAAGCCTCACTTATAATACTTCTAAGGAGATTTGTACAAACTGTATCTCCTGTAAAAAGATGTGTCAGGGCTATTTTTATTATCTGAAATGAAACCTTGAGAAAATCTTACTTTGACATTAAATCATTACTGTTTTGGGGTTTTTTTTTACATTACAAAGTCCAAATGCCAAGGAAAAGTCAACTCATAAGCTGGAGAGGTATGTAGACAGTTCAATTATAGTGACTGATAAAATAGATTTTAGTATTTTTTTTTCTGTTTTCATAGTTCTTTTGAATCCTGATTAAGCCGTTTTTAAGTACATACATAAGGGAAAATCTGATGTTATAAACTTTTTACTTGTTATACAAAAAAAATTATGCAGTTGATGTGGAGATTTTTGTTTTTAACATGAATTTTTAAAGGACTTTTTTGTACAGTAGGTTTTAAAATATTTCTTTTAGTATGTACAACCAACTTTTGTATTACCTTAGATGTTGTAATGGGAAGTCAGTTACAGTTCTGAGTGAATATTAGCTATCCTCAGTTTTTATGTGTAAGCAAACTTTTTGCATAGATGCTAACTTATGTAACCTCAGTTAAGATTTTCAGAAATATTTTGTTGAAGTTTATTAAAGTCAAGATTTAATGACTAGTTTAAATGGTTAAATTTTAAAGGAGTGAATTAAGATGTTATTTGTACTTAGAAGTCAAAGAAAATAAGTGGCATAGAAATAAATTATTTAGCTGTCCTTTGGGAGGAAAAAATGTTCTCACCTTTAAAGCTAACTTTCTTGATTATTTAAGTGAGATAGCCATACGTAAAACCTAATTTTTAAAAATAACTTCTTGTTTAGCATGAACTAAAGAAATGACCACAAACTCACTGAGCCTGAGATTTACCATCAAAAGAGGTACTGAAAAGAATCAATAAACTTCTTTCATAGGAATAATGTTTAGTGTTACTCATGTATTATTTTTGAGCTTGAAAGATGAGATATTTAGGATGATTCTGAAAATGAACTCTTTTCATTATTCTAATACCGTATACTCTATTGAGAATAAGTTACCCATGCTGTATTGGAGTTCAGTCTGCAAAGAAATGAATTGGCTGATTTTTGTCACTTGCAAGTCCAGCCAGGGCTGCTATAGCCTGCCAGTTGACTGCATCAATGCATAATACTGTATGAAGTCATTTAAAGGCATATTTTTTTAAAAATGACACATGTAACTTTTTACTATAATTATTAACTATAAGCAAAGAAGTTAGTCATGCTTTCATTTTTTTTTATTGTCATCAAGCAGTTTTCTAGGAAATTTCAGCAGTATATCAATCCAGCTATAATTCTAGTATGAAATACAGAAACTATGAACAAGCTTTTGGTGCCTACCATCAAAATTAAATCCATAGCTTTAATGCTTACAGTCTCATTTTGCTTTCACCACAGCTCTGTTTTAGTAGATCTGCACATCTCGCTCTCAATGGTTAATTTTATCAGTTCAGTTTCTTTGTAGATTTTTGCCATGAGTAGAAAGGATTTAAAGTCTCATAGTCCCTTAAAATATTTTATTACCCTTTCCTTGAAAGAATGATAGATAATGTACATGCTTGTTCATTGTACAAGTACCCAAGACATTCTGATTGAAAGACAGCTTAAGGAAAAATAAACAAATAGCAAAAGCATTCCGTCTTTATTTACAGTATGTAGAAGATCACTGTTTTCACTTTAAGTGTAGGAGTCTGATCAGCAGGAACACCCTAGAGAAGGACATCTTTAGCGATAGAATTTACATACCGTTAGCTCACAGTAATTGATTAGCAGCAGGACTCTGAGTACAGAACTGTTGGGCACGTTATTTGGGATGCCTTTGATGCCGAGGTTTTCCGAAGCTTGCTGGCTGCATGCTTGTTGCCTTTGTTCGTGGCACAGGTAATTACTTGATAAAATGAAGTGCATCGCTGTGAACAATTGACCCTTTGGAGCAGTCCAGGCTTGTCAGCAGTCTAAAACCACACTTTAAGGCCATCATTATGGCCTCAAACTTAAGAGTTTCCAAGGTGCAGACAAAGGTGTTGTCTTCCTTCAGTACAAGTCGAGTGCCATTTTCAGACTTTATGAAGTATTTAAACTGAATGATATTTGACGATATCGAAAACTCCTCAGGAAAGCCATCCAGCCTGCTTTTGGACACCAGGACAATGCGAGATTTTATTTTTGATATGAAATCCGGAGCATTACAGAAGATTCTCAGTCCTTGTGAGCGATCATGGTTATCTGTTATTTCCAAGAAAGTGGTCTCTCTGGGTGTCAGCTGTTCTTTTTCCCACCTGGACTTCACTTCCTCCGCCAGTCCCTTGAGCTGAAAGAATTCTGCTTCTTGTGCAAGAAGTTGATTTTCTCGAAACCCTTCTGGCAGTAGAAGTTCTCCATTTCGTAGGAAGTTTAGAACATGCCTGAAGAGGAGCCCATCCCTGTCTATGAAATAATGACCATCAGCATCAAACGGGCAGAGAATTTTTCCGTTGACTATACCTTCAAGGAAAGTGTCTGGGTACTTGGTCAGTGTTTGTTTCTGAGTGATGTATAAGTATCCACCAACGTTGAGGGTCATCAGAGTGGATTTGCAGTTCTTTCCCTGGTCAGCATCTTCCAGGCTGTTGTGTTTCCCTTCATAGTCCTTTTCTTTTTCCCTTCTGTTTATTTTACGCTCCATTTTTGAACACGCTATTTCAGCTTGTTCTTCTTGGCGTTGAGATTTTTAAAAAAGAAACACTACCACACAAACACGCCTTTATTCAGCCCCAGCCTGGTGATGGAATGGAAACGCTGGCAGCATCGCCTGCGCTGTCAGCTCGGTTTTGCAGTAGGTGGCGTATCAGCTATGTATGCAGGAGCTTTCTGGAGTAAGAGGGAAAAAAGATAATTTGCATTTAACCGTATCAGGGAAGGAACCTGCTGTGAAAAGGTTTTCATAGATATTCTTAGACATAAATAAAAGTTACTCAGTGAATTGAATTTCCTGTGGGCAGTTAAGCAGTTATATATATTTAATTCTCCAGTTAAGTGTGAATTTTTATTCACTTCTCAGTGTCAAAATTAAGTTATTAATCAGGCAGGCTTAATACTGAACAATACTATCACCTTTCAGAGATATATGTGTGGAATTGCTACCATATTTTAAAGTAAATTATAAGTAGGAAGCCTAAAGAGAAAGGACCTAGGTGTATAGAATTTTCTCTCCTGTAAAAAGCCACACATTTCACAGTGGTGTTGTCATTTTAGAAACACAAATGAGAATACTTAAACCCATTATTTATGACCTTGTACTTAAGTTTAATTGGATTTGCATGTGATTCTGATTTGGGAATCAGAATCTGATTTGGGGAATCAGTAAGTGAAAAGAAATTTTCTTCATGTCTTTCAACAAAAGGTTCTGTTATGTTGGCTTTTTACCCTACAAGTAAAAAAAGTAAAAAATACACAGGCTTTACAGTAAAAATTTTTTTTTTTTTTTGGTTGAGATTTCCTGTGGAAAATCCATAAGCTTGTTTCAGCCTAAACATACTGAACAAAGACTTGGACTGCTGTGGAAGATACTGTAACCGTGTGCTTGTGTTTATGTGTCTGTGTGTGTGCACAGGAACCACTGCTCCCTCGAGAAGATAACATAGAGACAGATTCAAAATACCTGCTATAAAATAATGTCATGGGCCGGATTAGTTGGGTTTCTTTTGCTGCTGCTGTTTTTTTTTTGTCCCCCCAGTGTTCACAAAAAGGGAGAGAAAAGACCAAAGCCTGTTGCCTTTTTATTTTGGAGCTCTAGCAGTGTGAGTATAGTGTACCCCCCCCCCTTTCTTTTTTTTCCTTCTTCCCTGGTAAATTGCCTTCCAAGACATTTTAGGGATCTGAGTTTTCATTTCTAGAGTTTAAAGACCCAGTGGTAAGAAATGTGAACATGGTCCCCAGTACACTATTATTTGGCTGATCTACCTGCTAAATTATTCTGAGGAACTACAGAATTAGACTTTAGATTTTGTCAAATTGATTTACATTTTTATTACATTAAAGGTATTTAAAATTTTTCAACTTTGATAGAGGTGGGCTTCCCTTGTGGCTCAGCTGGTAAAGAATCCGCCTGAAATGTGGGAGGCCTGGGTTTGATCCTGGGTTGGGAAGATCCCCTCGAGAAGGGAGAGGCTACCCATTCCAGTATTCCAGCCTAGAGAATTCCATGGACTGTATGTATAGTCCATGGGGTTGCAAAGAGTTGGACACAACTGAGTGACTTTCATTTTCACTTGATAGAAGTATTATTGGTGGAGATTCTTCTAAAAATGTTTGCCTTGCATTTTTTCGAAACAATGTTAGATTTTCTTCAGATATTAAAAAAAATTGATTTTTAATTATAGCAGTTTGAATTCAGTGTTTATGTATCATTGAGCTTATCAAAAGTTCATTGAAATTAAACTAGAAATCAAAGGCATAACATTTTTAGGGCTGAGTTTTTGCTGAGAGGACTTCCTTGGTGTTTTAGAAGGTAAAGAATCTGCCTGCCTTGCAGGAGACCCAGGTTCAGTTCCTGGGTTGGGAAGATCCCCTGGAGAGAGCAATGGCTGCCCACTGCAGTATTCTTTCTGGAGAATTCCATGGAGAGAGGAGCCAGGGGGCTACAGTCCATGAGGTCGCAAAGAGTCAGACCTGACTGAGCGACTATCACTTTTGCTTAGAGACCATGAAACTGAGCCAGAGAAAACTGCATTCTGGAGAGTTTTTAGTGTTTTATCTAGAACTTTATAGTTTGTTGATAGTAAGCCAACACTTTAGACTAAAGCTTCCTCTCAGCACCACATCATTTAAGAAAAGTTTACTGGTATATTCTAACAATTTCATGTGTGTTGGTTTTGTGGTTTGGGAATCAAGTCTTATCTATGGATACAACCTTTTCTGAAATATGGAATAGGTTTGGGGCGGGGGGTGGCGCAACTTTAAAAATGGAATTATTTTCTTAGTAGTAAATGCATCTGAGTAGCAACCACATAATAGCATAACCAGGAAAGGCATGCCAGTTTCACTTACAGGCATAGTCCTCTTTTAATGAAGTTTAGGGCGGTTTAGTCACTGACTCGTGTCCAACTCTTGCGACCCCATGTGCTGTAGCCTGCCAGGCTCCCCTGTCCATTGCCTGGATTCTCCAGGCAAGAATACAGGAGTGGGTTGCCATTTCCTTCTCCAGGGGCTCTTCTTGACCCAGGATTCAAACGACGGGTCTCCTGCACTGCAGGCAGATTCTTCAGCTGACTGAGTCGTGAGGGAAGCCCACCCCAGGAAGTGTAGCAGTCCTGTCTCAATCACATAGGTGTCTGTTCTACCTATCCCGGTCCAAAGAATCCTTGAAAATTCATTTGTGCTAAACCCTTCTTTAAAAGAAAGGAAAAAACTTTGCCTCATTGAAGTAATGATAGACCTTTTTTGTTTTTTTCCAAGTTTTTTGTGGATATTCTTAATTGCTTTTTTTTTTTTTTAGCTCTGTAAGGCCCATTGAGAAGACTTCATTGAAGCTTCCTAAACCAGTTTTTCTCATTCAAAAAAGATCTTAGGTTAATTTGACTTTTGTTCTATAGGTCCCACCAAAACAGTTATTTACAATGCACATGAGACACCAGAATCAATAGAACGGAGCTGTAGTATAGTGGTGGAGACTGCGCTCAGATTTCTTTGTTTGTTTAAATCAAGTGAGGTAGTTGAATTCTGTGTAAGCCTTGGTCTGCTGCATTTACAGTGTTTGGCCCGTTTACCGATGCCTTCCTGAGAGAGCCCTGGGGCTAGTGCTGCTAGAGGCCCGGCACGTGAGGCAGGACACCGACCTCCTCAGCCGTCACCCCCGGGCCCCTGCACCTGCTGACTCGCTCGCTTCTGCTTTCTGATTTTTAAACCTCCTGGTGTGTCTGTTTCCCTTCTGGCTTTCCGTGGCCGTAAACCACCCTGTCTTGTGCCTCTAACCCTTGACTGCCCTTTCTCACTCTAGACTTCGCTCTGAGGTTCTTGGCTTCTGCAAACCTGACCTGTAAGATGTGTTTGCCACCCGTGGCGGGGCAACAGTGGTGCAACAGCAGGCTTGTCCTAGTGCCTCGCTGGAAGCTGAGAAGAATCTATAGGACTTTTTTTTTTTTTTAATGTCCTGTAGCTCCCAACTTGCAGTCTTAAGAAAGAAGAATGGTACCCAGGAGACCCCGCCTTCTCTGCGTTGCTTCACTCCATCCCCATCAAAGCAAGATGATTGCAGTTTACATTAATCACAGGGCTTTTGTTGCTCATTGCCACTGTTAAAGTTCATGTGCTTCTGAGGAGAAAGCCAGGTTGTCTTCTTCTTAGCCTATTCTAAGCTTATATTTACTTGCTTTGGGGCTGAGGGTGGGGAGAGTCATGTCAGTCAAGTCCACATAGCCCAAAAACTGTAAAAATGGTGCTTCGATAACTATTCCGAGGCGGACATCCATGGGTTTGTGTGACCACCTTTCTCTTCCTCACTGCACATCCAGACTGAAGCAATCCGTTAATTGGTTAAGCAGAAGGGCTTAACCTACACAACAAAGATGAGCTCGTTTGAATCCACTTGACCGCTAGACTCGAAGATTTCATGTGCTTTGCAGGCAGAAAGATATTTTTTTTAAGTGTCCATCATAGACATCTGTAATCACACATATAAAAGAGCCCTTTAGTCAACTTTGAAGATATGTTTTCTCACATACATCTATATATCTGTTTTTCCTTCATTCAGCTCTGTTTTTTGCATTAGTTCGGGCTGCTGTAGTATAGTACATATTTCACTACCTCTGCGTAACACAGAGTATTTCACACCTAGACACTCAGTGAATGTTGTTTTTGATTCCTTGGTGATGGACCCCCAGGCTGCCTCAGTCCCTTGCTGTGGTGAGCAGTGTAAAGCATGTCCTCTTCTAGGTGTCTGTGGAAACTCGTGAGGCAGATCCCCAGGGGAGCGCTTGCTGGGCACGTTCAGTTTCACTTAGCACTCCCAGATGACTCCCAGGATGCGCTCTACCACCAGCGGTGCCTGTGGGTTCCTGTTTGCCCACATTTTCTCCAGCACTTGGTATTCTCTGGCTTTTGTTTTGTTTTCTAGATTTCACATACAAGCGACACCATACAGTGTTTTGTCTTTTTCTGCCTGACCTGTTTCACCTAGCATAAGTCCGTGCTAAGTTGTTGTGAGTCTGTCCACGTTGTTGCACATGGCAACATTTCGCCCTTTTTTGTGGCCGAGTAGTACTCCATTCTGCATGTGTGTATGCACACACACACACCACATCTTCTCTAGCCATTCACCTGGGGATGGACCCTTAGGTTGTTCCATACCTTCACAACTGTAAATAATGCTGCTGTGAATATTGGGGTCCTTGTATACATCTTTTCAGACTAACATTTTCTCTGAGTATATACTCAGAAGTGGAGTTGCTGATTCGTACAGTGGCTCTGTTTCTAGTTTTTGAGAAACCTCCATACTGTTTTCCACAGTGGCCGCACCAGTTTACCTACCCCCAACAGGGTATGAGGTTTCCCTTTCTCCATGTCCTCACTCACCAACATTTCTAATTTGTGTTCCTGTTGGTGATAGCCAACTTTGAGGGCTTAAACAGTGTCACTGACAGGTTCTTTTTCTGACTATATTCATTGGTTAGGCCCAGTGCCTAACCAAATTTTAGCAAAATCTTTCTGCTGTATGGTGATGCTAATCTTCCACTGTCTGCATTAGGCAGAACTTATTACAGGCCAATGGGAATTCTTATCTGCCAACTCTTGATGGGAAATGAGGTCATCATCATCAACGTGATTGACACAGAATATGCCAGAGATATTTTCCTGCCATAAGGAAGTAGAACCTTACCAAGAAGATCTCTCTCTTGGTTGGAAGATAAAAGATTTGGTAGTTCCCCTAGGCTCAACAGATCACTCCTTTATGAAATTCAGACACTCCTTTTCAAGGAAAAGGGATGAAGCTGCCTTTATTAAAAAACATAGGGGTTTTGGTTCTTCATTCTCTGCCTCTACCAAATCTTTTTGGTTATTTTCACCTGCATGCATTAATTCCTTTTTTTCTTAAAAAAAAAAAAAAAGATGATTTCTTGTTGCTGCACTAAGAAAGAGAAGCCAGCTACAGAAAGAGCAGCAGCTATTAATTTTTACTTAAACCTGTCTGTGTCTCTGCTGTGAACTTCTCCGTATTTTTTGAAACTTATTAATCTGGGTCTCTCTTCTTCACTTGAATTTGACACCCATCTACTTGATCTGCAGTGTTATCTTTATCTGTTCATTTTCTAAAATCTGGCTAACCTTTGGCCATCTGACTTTCATGTCCTCTGATTCCTTTTTGGCTTGACATTCCTATACCTTTCACAAACTGAGTTGTTGTGGTTTTTTTTTTTTTTAACTTATGTGTTTCTTGTTTTTCATAGCCTCCTGTTAATAGCATTGAATGTGAGAAATACTCATTTTGATACTCGACTATAATTATGTTACTTTAGTTTCTTTCTGGTGTTGAAAAATAAAGGAGACAGTGCTATGTATTAACATAGTTTAAGAATTACGGATTTTTCTGTGTTAACCTAATTCTGTTTAAATGCCAAAACTTTAGTTTTGTTTTGAAATATGAAAGTTTTCTGCATTAGATGTTGTCTGGTACTGGGCTTCATCAGCACAAGTACTGTCTCACCCAGCTTTTAGAGCTGACTGACCGCTGTATCTCACCAACTATGCAGTGTCATGTCCTCCTGGGACTCATTCACTATAGCTTCTGGCAGAATGGTGATGTGGATGTGTAATTCCAGTCAGAGGAATAAGCTTGTAAGTGTTTTACAGTGTTGAACTGAGTCTTCAAAGAAGCCCAGGAAACTGCTGCTTCAGCAAATTTTTAAACCCCACTTGAGAAGTATAGAAAAGATTAAGGAGCTTTGTGTCAAAAGGAGCACAGATAAAAATGACAGACTAAAGGAGAAGTTCTGACAAAATTCCATTCCACTGTTTCTTTACTTTTCATTACAAAGGTAATCTTGAAAACACTTTACAAATCATGCTAATTCATATTTTAAATGTACTTTGGGAGATGAGTGTTGCAAGGAAACCTGAGTTTTATAATTCTGTAAGCAAAAGTCATTTGAGTTTTTAAAATGAGTGTGCTCTTTTTTTTTTTTTTGAAGTGCAGACTATGCATTATTATTCACTGGAAAATTTTATTGTAACTAGATGAGCAAAGCATTTCTATGAGCCATCAAATGAACACTGAAATTATATTATTGTAGAAAACTCATTTTTATAGTGCAATTTGGCAAAACAGAATTTTGCCTTCTCTTTCAGAAGGAGATGTTTTAAGTTAATAATCATTGTCTACAATCTCAAAATGAGGGGCATGACTTTGAAAAATTGTAACGTGAATATTGCTGTGAAATCAGGGACCAAAAGAGTCCCTGCCCCCAAGTGCTATCCCTTACCACTGTCCCTCGTGTTACCATCTTCTCTTCAGATTCTCCTGTGTGATGAGATGGGTGGGGGGAGGTAGGGGGCTGGGGGGCCTGAACCAGCAGGACAGGATATTATGGTTCACAGGGGGACATGGAGTTTCTTACAGAGAATAGAATGATTGTAAATCAGGGATGGAGAACTCTTATCATATTCTTTACATCTGACATTTCTGTTATCGGCGTGTGTCTTAAAATCATGGACTTGTAAAATTTTCATGGTAGCGTTTTGTCTGCCTTGGTGGCACATAAGATAATGGTGAATATTACAATTGATGGCATCTTAGATTTGATGACATATTTGAGCAGTTCTGTAAGCTGTTATCCCCACACCACCAGGAAATTCAATTAACAGAGAGACAGGGAAAGGTGAAGGTGTTGGGGGAGAGGAAGAGAGAAGTATCAGGGCAGCAGTTCTCAGCCTTACCTGCTGCATATTAGAGTTGTCTAGTGAGTGTGTAAAAACACCTCTTGCCCACACAATGCAATTAAGGTAGAATCTCTGAGTGTGGACCCAGTAGTTTTTAAAAATCTCCCCAGGTGATTCTTAGGACCAAGCAGAATTGAAGAACTGCTATATTCAGGAAATTGATGAGCTCAGTAAAGCAAACTTACCTCAAAGGAGTTCTTAATGATGAGGGCATAATTTCTCCTCTCTGGTTATGAGGATCACTTCTTATTAAAGGATCTTGAAATTTGTAAAGAACTAAACTAGTGTGTGGTATTAGTAGTTACTAAACATGGTGAAGAGAACTGGGGTTATTGAGGATGAAATTAATAAAACTTGAATCATATTCAGTGATGAAAAAATGTGTCATCAAATTGTCTCTTAAGTATTTTGTTAATGTTATCTCAACTATACTACAAGCTTTCTTAAGTACAGGGGTCTGTATTTTTCTTCTTTTGTACCTCTCATCACACCTTGCACCATGTTTGATACTATTTACCTGTAATGCAGCCCTGTGGTCAAAGCCTTCTCCTGGAGACTTAATCTTTCCTGGAAGGGTTTGTTTTTCTATTCATATAATCATGGTTGCTGTTGTTCTTGAATTGTTTCTAATTTCTAGTGCAAGTGGATAGCACCTTTTGATGAAGGTTTTACCAAAACAGACTATTTCAGTACTATGATTTTCTTTTTCATTTATTATTATAAAACAGTATTGCTTCATTTTTTCAAATGATAGTTTTATTTCTGGGTTTTATTCAACCTCTTATTCTTAAAAGCAGCTTTTAGGTTAGACGTCATGTCTGTTTATGTACATCATACCCATATCTGTATTTGAGAATTTATACTGATGAATTGTATATATATAATTATACATATTGTGTATATTAATTATGTATAACAAGCAAAAAGGAAACTTATTGTAAAGTGTAGGAGGAAAAATAACTTGTGAACTTGCTTCATAAACATTAAAACACAAATGTTTATTTTTAAAATGTTGTTCACTAAGTTATTTCTTTGATCAAAAGTTTGTTATGGCTTCTGTAGACCCATAGAGCAATCCAGACTCCTTTGTACATTTAAATCATCTGTCTTTGATTTTGTACCTTAGGTCACACTTTTCTTTCTTCTCCTGGGCAGCCAGTCTTGTCATTCACAGATACTCTTTGGTGAGCATTACAACATCCCTTGTATAGGAATGTACAGAAACCTTCCTTCTCCCAGTCCACAGGGGAGAAGTTGAAGAGCAAGTACTATGAATGAGGAAACTGAGATGTTTTCTGATCCTAAGTCTGACCCTCATAATTATGGTTTTAGTATTCGATTTAAAACTGGGAACTCCCAGCTATTCAGGCATGTTTGTAATTTGAATATCACTACAAGAAAACACGACACAACATAATTCAGCAGGATACTTAAATGGCTGCTCATTATGTTGCTTTTGAAGTAATTAATAAAATACTCTGTAGGCTTACTGAAATCTGAGTATGATCTTTTATTCCTAAAATTCCTGAATATTAAATAGATCAGAACATCAATTCACAAATCTGAATACAATTAGAAACACCTTCTTAATAATACAGGGATCGAAACTTTGCCCAACTGGTTTGTTAAGATGCCAAGTAGCTTGTATTAATAGGCCTTACCCTAACCACAGGCAGAAACTGCTAGGAAAAGATCTTAAATGAGAACAGTGGAGACTAGCAGGAGTATGAAACAATGGTTTACCTTTTAAATGCTCTTGATCTCTTGAAATACTCTTCTTTAGTCCTTTTCCAGAGGGGACAGACACAGGTGTGAGGTAAAGAAGAATCCAGAAAGTAGCTTCAAGGCCTCAAGGATGAGCCCAGAACCTTGACTCTAACCTTGTCTGTGTTTTAACTTGAGTTGGCAGTGCTCTTAAAGGCCTCCATGTTGAACTGGATCCAGAGTGGTCTCGTGGAAATGAATGCCTGTAACTTCCTGATGCCCAACGTCTTCTTAACACACTGCTCTCATTACTTACATGCCAATGTTAATAGGCACCCTTCCTGCTTACCTGTCACTTTAACTTGTTTAGACTAGCCAGGCCCTTAACTTGTAAAAAGTGCCAGTCAGTCGTTTCTCCCGGGTTCTACATCATACTGTGTGTGTTAGTCTCAGTCGTGTTCGACCCTCTGCGACCCCATGGACGATAGCCCGCTGGGCTCCTCTGTCCGTGGAATTCTCCAGGCAGCAATACTGGAGTATGTTGCCATTTCCTTCTCCATCATCATACAGTGAAGTGAAGTCGTTCAGTCGTGTCCGACTCTTTGCGATCCCATGGACTGTAGCCTCCCGGGCTCCTCCGTCCATGGGATTTCCCAGACAAGAGTACTGGAGTGGGTTGCCATTTCCTTCTCCAGGGGATCTTCCCGACCCAGGGATCCAGCCCGGGTCTCCCGCATTGTAGGCAGACGCTTTACCTTCTGAGCCACCAGGGAAGCCTATCATCATACAGTAGTATATGTCAAACTGAGATAAAGAGTAGGAAGGTCTAGCTTAGAAAAAGAAGTTTGTGTGTTTTCAAATCCTGGACAGCTTCTCAACGTTTTCTCTTTGTTGTTCCCAGAAAGCATTTTTCTCTAATTCCTACTCAAAGAAAATTTAATTATATCTAGGTCTTTTAGTAAGTATTAGGGCAAACAAAATAGATATTGATGAAACAATAAAACATCCCCAGTTGGAGGGAAGGGCCAGTTTTGTTTTGTTAATTTTAGTGAAAGAGAATTGGAAGAGATCCCAGTGACTTCCTTATGCATATGGATGCCGAGACCCAGAGATGTGAAGTAACTTCTCCAAAGTAACTCCGCTGTTCAGTGACAGGTTTAGAACTGGGATGCTTCCATTCTTGTTATAAGAATGCACTTTGTGTAACTTTCAGTTTTTTCTGAAACTAGGTGGCAGTATATAGATCAATAAAATACCATCACAAAGGTGTGTGTTCATACTCATGAAGATTCTTTGGGCTGCAAAGAGCAGAAACCAGTAAGCAAACTAGTCTAGCTCAAGAAGCGGGGGAGGTGAGAAAATTTAGAAGAGGTCCTGGAATAGTTCCCAGAATCTAAAGAAAAGTTGAACAAGCGGCCAGGCCTAAGGAAAGATAACCCTCATAAACGATAATAAATTCTACTTAGTACAGTAGAATCCCACAGCCTCTATGGAAGGACCAGTAGTCCTTCCAGTAGTTAAATTAAAAGGTTGGGAATCATGATAATAGAACGTATTCCTACTGCCTTAAACACTTTAAGACCCACAAATGTACATTTGGTCACCAGTGTCCACGTAGGACAAGGCCTTTGCTGTCACTGTAGGATGCTGATTATCTGATTTCCCTTTCTTGTGGAAAGTAAACCCATAATTTAGTTTAGATTTTTAATTTTGGTTTCTTGAAAAAGGAGCAAGACTTTAGACACAGTGAGACGATACAAATGTAGAATCCTTCTAGACTTTTGTTTCTCTTCTAGTCTCTAGTCACTCCAGTACCTAATCTGACAGGTTTTCAGCAACTTATCTTTAGATCACATCTTGCTGTTCTTTAGTTGCTCAGTCGTGTTCGACTCTCTGTGACCCCATTGGCTACAGTCCAGCCAGGCCCCTCTGTCCATGGGGATTCTCCAGGCAAGAGTACTGGAGTGGGTAGCCTTTCCGTTTTCCAGGGGATCTTCCGAACCCAGGTCTCCCGCATTGCAGGCAGATTCTTTATCAGCTGAACCACCAGGGAAGCCCCAGAATATTGGAGTGGGTAGACTGTTCCTTCTCCAGGGGTTCTTCCCGACCCAGGAATCAAACCAGGGTCTCCTGCTTTGCAGGCGGATTCTTTACCAGCTGAGCTACCAGGAAAGCCCCCACCCAGGAGTAGGTACTGCTAAATAAGTGGGAAACAGTCACAGGTGGTATTGAAAGGTAACTTTTTAGTATTCAACATTAGTAAACACATGGGTATGCAACTAAATTATCTTTGGAGACAGTATTCTAGATTTAAAAAGGATTAATTTATGTTTCAGTAGTGAGCTTTTCTCATGCATTTAAGGCCCTGTAGATTGGAGTCATTCCCAAATCTTGTGATTGTTATGACAAGAATCATTCTAGCTGGAACTTTCAGCTTCAGTGGAGGGGCATGCTTGAATAGAAGATTTGTTTTTGCTTTAAGAAAATTCAAATTTTAATCTTACTAAATTCATTAGTAAGGACATTACTTTTAGAATTTAAATTTAATATGAAATAATTTCAGCCTGCTTATTCTTCCCTTCCTGCCATATTTTGGTGTAAGGTAGACATGCTTCTCACCATCACCCTTTGCCATCGTCTGTCAGCCTGTACCTTGAGGTTTGTGCTTATGTTGCATTGCATTACTGTGTGTTTGCAGTTAGTACTTGGGGGCCGTAATAAGGAGTTACAGGATTTTGGAGACAAAAACCACAAAAGATCACCATAAAACTTTTGGCGTGTGGAAGACCTCACGTATGGATATGGATGTGCGGGGCCTCTGTTGCTGCGTGCGGGCGACTCTAGTTGCAGTGCTCGGGCCTCTCATGAGCGCGGCTTCCTTAGCTGCGGCTCTCAGGCTCAGCAGTTGCGGCCCTACGGCTCTAGAGTGCATGGGCTCAGTAGCTGTGACGCACAGACTTAGTTGCCTCGAGGCACGTGGAATCTTCCCAGACCGGCGATCGAACCGATGTCCCCTGCATTGGCAGGTGGATTCTGAACCACAGGACCACCAGGAAAGTCCGGAAAATTTTTCTCATATAAATCATGTGGGCGTGGTTGCATCTGCGTTTTACGTTTTGGTCAGTTTATCTGTTTGCCCAGTGAACTGTGTGCTTCTTGAAGACAGTACCGCATCTCAGTCATCTTCGATTCTGCAGTGCCTAGATGGTTCCCTTTGTATGGTAGGCACTTGGTTAATGTTTGTGGAATGTATGAGGTCATTGGCCCTCCAAAAATGGATCATAAATGCATTGCTGAGGAGCCAAAGGAGTTCCTGAATCTCTCCTGGGTACTTGGGTGAATTCTCTTAGAAATATGATTGAACTGTAACTGTTCCTAACCATAGTCATCCATTTCCACACTGCAGTAAAGCTGGTGCCACCGTGGGTCAGTCATATATGCATTATCAAATAAGATGAGATCTAAAGTGACTTGGTGCCTAGTAGGCACACAGTAGTAGGTGCTAACTTTTGTTTCTCTTGAATATTATATCAGTGTCACTGTAAGAATTCTTACAGTGGGAAAATTTTTCTTTCTGTTTGGACAAATATTCATAGCATTTAAAAGCTCTAATTTTACCACACCCATATTAATCATTTTGCTAAAAATAAAAGAGCAACTGGCAGGCGGAACTGGTATTCTATATAACCTAGGCAAGAACCTGACTAGTTTCACAGTATTTTTTAGGCTAGCTGTTCTAGTCGCAGTGTATTCTAGAATTTTGTTTTTTGTACATATATGTGTGTGTACCCACGCATTCAAATAACGTGTTATGTATATACCTTTGATTTAGTGCTTTAGACTGTGTTTTAAGAAGTTACTTCTCTGTACACCCTTCAAAGATGATATAGCCTGTACACCCTTCAAATATTTACTTGATTTTGTGCCTTTTTAAGCTACTCTCTTTAGAAAGAGCTAAGTGTATAAAAGCTGTTATTGGCAAGGGGCTGCAGCAGTCTGTAAATAAACCTGAGAGGAGCCTAGTTTTTTACTATCTATGAATACATTTTTTTTTTTTGCTATTCTGATCAGTGATACTACTATAAACTTAAAAATATTCCTTTTCTTTCCTTGATTTATATTTTTGACTATATTTGTGATCAGTTACTGTGGTTAGTATGTCAAAATACAGTCTTGAAAATGATAAATGTTATCTAAATACATTTGTTAATTTTTTTCTTTCCATTCAAGATAAGCTTTCACTGGAAGGAATAGTGGTACAAAGAGCTGAATGCCGACCTGCTGCCAATGAAAACTACATGAGGTTAAAGAGGTTGGTGTTTTTTAACTTTAAAACAATACCTGGTGTGTTTTTTTGTTTTTTTGGTTTTTTTTTAGAATTGAAATACATGTATTAGATTGCCTATTGACTGCATAAAAACAATGGTTATTGTTACAAGTGTTTTCTTCAAAGCTTGTTTGTTTTTTAAATCAAATAAATAAGAACAAATTTTTAGTTGCAAAATAAGGAAGTCATGAGGATGTCATGGGCAGTGCTGACTGTAGTTAATAGTAGTTTCTTGCACATTTGAAAGTTGCTGAGAGAAGAGATCCCAAAGGATCTCATTGCAAGAAAATAATTTTTTTTTCAACTATGTTTGCTGTCAGAAGTTAGACTTACTGTGGTGATCCTTTTCCAGGGTATACACTTGACTGAATCATTACCGTGTATACCTGAAACTAATACAATGTCAGTTATATTAAAATTAAACTCAAAAAGAGTTTCTTTAGTAAGGGAACTTTCAGAACCTAGGCTGTTAATTTGGGTTGTATTAAGCTACTTTGTTACTATAACCTGGAATCAAAATTTGTCTTTTTCTAGTTGTCCTTATAAATCTTGATTCTCTAAAAACATGTTTACAAGATCTTTGCACCATTTTATTTTCAAGGGCTATAATTTTCCCATGATGAATGTATATCTCAAATACTATACACTAAAAAGCAAGTATAACCGGTTGCTAGAATACCATCCTTTTTTCTTAGTCTACAAAGAACTTTTATAAACTATTGCCTTGTTGGAGAGTTTGCTTTGGTGTCCCTCCTCCACACGT